GGAGAAAATGCCCACCACCAGGTAGCAGAGTCGATAAAGCAGAGGAGGAACTATGAGCTTCTGCCTACCTAACATCACATTATTCATTTTGCAGAACAAACCTCAGAGTCAGCTACCTCCCATCCCTGCCATCCGCCTATGTTACATGGGCAGCTACAGTAGTGACAGACAAAAACACGAGAGAACACACTGGAGCTGCATTCTAAAAACAAAAACAAAAAAACAAAAAACAAAAAAAACCAAAAAACAAACAAACAAACAAAAAAACTCCTGAAAAGATGTGCAGGTGAAAGATGAAAATAGAGTCTTATTTCTATTGGTTTTTATTGTTGCTGTTTGTGTAATGCTGGGGATCGAACCTAGGACTTCACACATCCTAGGCAAGTGCTCTGTCATGAGCTGTATCTGCAGCCCGATTTGTTGATGCACAGTCTCTGGAAAGCAGAGCATCTGTAACTCATAAGCAGCAGAGGCCCTAGAAGGAACACCATGGTCAAATACAGCAGATCTCAGCCTAGTGGGGGTCACACATCAGATAGTCTGCAAATTAGATATTTACATTATGATTTATAACAGTAGCAAAATTATAGTGACAACATAGCAATGAAATAATTTTATGGCTGAGGAACTGTATTAAAGGATTACAGCGTTAGGAGTGTTGAGAAACACTGTTCTAAGGAAACTGGCCACCACAGAAAACCAGCAGGTCCAAATACACATGTTTGATTTACAACAGGGCTACTCCCGACAAGGCATTTTATATTGAAGTACAAGCCCGAATGCCTTTAATGTGGCTATACCAACAAAAGAAATCCACTCTCTGCCACTGCTGACTTCCAGGAGTGAGCATCATATCACTTATTACTAGCTAGGACAGGATCAAAATGAAATAGCACAAGTACAATTCCTACAGGATTCTTTAGACAGCATCACAAAGTTAGGAGAATCTGAGATAGAATCGTCACAAGTCAATGGCTATCTGTAGAGGAGTTAAGCAGGAATAGCTGCCAGAAACAGAATGAGATCAACACCAAGAACAATTGCCACTTAGGGGCAGTAAGATGGCTTGGCAGGTGCAAATCACTTGCTGCATGAATCTGAGTTGCATCTGGAAGCCACAGTGGAAGGAGACAGCCAACACATGAAGTGAGCCTCTGACCTCCACACATGTACTATGGCGCATGTGTGTCCTCAGTCACCTACATACATCACATACACATTTGTATGCACACAATAATAATAAATGAAAGAAGATCATAATCACAGTGACACTGGAGTGAGGCTAAACATCAGGATCCTCAAGATGGCCAGATCTTCTCAGCTTTACTATGCTCATAACTCCAAAATCAAGAATGGGAACAAAATGTCCCCCTTCATGGTCAGAGGAGAGAGGTGTCGGGATGAACGGGCTAGCCTATTTGATCTTGCAAAGGGGCCCCTTGTCCAGTCCTTTGGTGAGGCAGCTCAGCTTTAGCTAATCTTGCCTTTCCAAGCTTAGAATGTTAGAGAGCGAAAACACTCTTTTAAATTTTCTTTTAAATCACACGTGTGTACACGTGAGTGCAAGTGTTTAAGGAGGCCCTGAACACAGGATGGCCCAAAGCTGCAGTTACAAGCAAGCCACTCTTGGGTGCTGGGGAGCAGAACCTGAATCCTCTGCGTGATTGATGTGTGCTTTTAACCACTGACCTTTCTCTCTAGCCCCTGGGTTAATTTTGTTACATGTATGAACACTCAAAATCCTCAAGGTAACCCTGTCTAATGGACCCTCATATTGTCCCATACTATAGCTTAGTTCTTAGACACTCCCCTAAGGCCCAAATATAGAAAGCATTGTCACCATTGGTGGGCAGTGTTGTTGGGAGGTGGTATTCCCTTTGGAAGATGAGGCTTTGTAGAAGTTAGGCGACTAGGAGCTTGGGCATGAAGGAGATATTTGAAGTCATGCCCCCTTCCCTCTCTCTTTGTTTCCTAATGCCATGGGGCCAGCAGGACTCTTCTCTGAACACTCCTTGTCCTAATATACAGACTTGTCACAGGCCCAAAACACCACTGATGGTTGATCATGGATAGAGACCTCTGAAACTGTGAGTGAAAAACTAAAGCTTTCTACTTTGAATCTATCTCAAGTATCTGTTACTGCAGTGTAACTCTGACAAATATGTTCCATTGTTCAGACTAAAGAAGCACAAAGGGACTAAAAAGCTGCCCAGATTCATACAAATGTTAGAACTAAAGGGCTGACTCCCGAACACAACTTTAGAGGCCACACCCCTGGATTCTATACATCTATACTGTAGAGGCTACAGTAAATATTACTGTCCTTCTTTCAGAGATGAAGAAACCAAGCTTGAGGTACGTCCTCAAGTTACCCTTGTCTTGCTATCATGGCCTAGATTTTTCAGCCTCGACAAATGGAACATTCCAGAGAACCCACGGTACCACTTGGCCTGGAGATAGAAGCTTGCACATGCTCACCTCTTCCCCAGCAGTTCTCCAGCCTTCATGGGCAGAGCCCCCCCCCCCGCCTTCCAAATAGTCACACGCAATGACCTTCCAAATAGTTGGATATATAACCATCCATCTAAGACCCAAGCCAGCATTGGCGTGTGAGCCGAGCATGAAAGTGACATGTAAATAGAAGAAAAGGGTGAATCCAGCCACACTCTAGGCTGGGCAAAACATCTCAGATTATTTATTTCAAGCATTTTGCAATTGGCAAGACCCAAACCACATTTTTCCAAGCAATCCCTTTCCCTCCACCCCCACAACAACCCTATTTACGTCCCTGACCCATGTGTATTTCCCGAAAAAATATGGTCCATATGTCTCTGATCCATTTACACTTAACTCATCAAATTATTGTATGCTAAGAGGAGTGTGGTATCCATAAAGCCTCCTAGACTGTCTGGGAGGCCATCAGAGGGCTCTGCGTCTCTTTTCTTAGAAACAGGAAGCTGTGTTTAGCCAAAGGCAAACAAAATTGGAAAGGGTGGCCATGGCAGCGTGGTTCTCTGAATGGAAGGACCACAAGGAGGAGCCTCTGGAGCGGCAGCTCGAGATCCTGGAGCACCAGCCCAGGGTTGGGCTCAATTTTGTTTTCAGCCTTGTTTGCAGTCCCTCTGACTGCCGCAATCCCTAAGGTGATTGATAATGGAATAGAGGGCGTGTAGAGGCCCTGACCTGGGTCATGGGTGACCCTCAGTATTGATGGCTTTGGCAGAACTCAGTCACATGGATTCGATTTCAACCATGGCAGCTTAAGAACTTGCAAGGCCAGCTTTTTCTGTTTCCCTTCGTACGCATGCACACAAAGAGACACATGCAAACACACACACACAAACACACAAGAGCACACACAAACATTCACACACACACACACACACACACACACACACACCAAACCAAACACTTCTCAAAACAAACAATTACATCTGATATGGTTTAACTCATCCATGTTTTTTTGGCTTTAGCAAAAGGGGGTCTAGTTTTGTTTTATTTTTTTTCTAATTGCTTAAGTTCAGCTAACTTAGTGTCCCCTAGGAAAACTGATCTATGTAAATTCGATTTGACTAACAGAGGGCTGAGCATTTCACATGTGTTTCCCATTTTCTAATCACCCTGAGCTCTGTACATGGTAAGCAGACAGAGAGCGATGGTGGTCTCATTTCAACATCAATTTTTATCCATTTTATCTCTCAAGAATGCTGAACGACGCTGGAGAGAATATCACTTCCTATCTCCACACAGCCAGAAGCCAGGATTCATGGAAATTTGGGTAGTAGGTTAAACTGAATGCATGGCTACAAGACCCAAAGGAAGATGGCAGCGCTTTGTGAAGTCTACCTTGTTACAGTTGGCTAAAACATTAGTCAAGATTGATTTTAAATATTATACTTCCCTGATTCATGTCAACAAGCGTTTACAAATTGCAGACTGTATTAGTTTTCTCCCACTGTGTGGTGAACAACCACAACCTCTGTTGCTTAAAGCAACTGGCGTGTGTTACTTCCTACTCTTCGAATATCAGGAGCCCAGGCACAACTGATCCTCTGCATGGGGGCTCATACAGTTAGAATCGAGGTGCTGGTTGGCTGTGTCCCTGTCTGGAGGCTCGACTGGGGAAACCACTTATGTAAGCCCATTTGGGAGTTGGCGGTGCTCAATTCCCTGTGGCTGTATAGCAGGGCTTCCTTTTTTCTTCCCAACTGTGGGCTGATAATTAACTCTTTGAGGTCTCCTTCAGGTTCTTCCCTTGTGGTTCCCTCCATGGGCCCTGTTAAAACATGGCTGTTGGCATCTTCAAAGCCAGCTAGATCCATTTCTCCCCCATAAAGAATGGCACAGATCTTTTTAAAAGTCTCTCACCCAATTACAACAGACCTACCTTCACTTTAGATTAACACTACACCAACTAATATGAGACCTAAATTTTATCTTCAGGTCTTATCCATATAACATAACCAAATCACAAAGTAACAGCCACAGTATTCCCTGATCCACATCCAAGGAGAAAGTATCTCCTTCTCTGAAACAGAAGCCCAAGATGCCCTGGTGGTGTACATACCCTGTCTTAGAATTCAGTTCTTCATATCTCCCCTCCTTTGTACAAGCATGTAGTTGATACTCTTTTGTAAGTTCTACCTTCAAGAAGCACATAGGGTAAGAGAGGTGGTGGATCTGCAGTCATCACTATTCCATGAGATTCATGCTATGATTCAGTCGTGTTTGATGTTCAGAGATAGCACAGAGGTGGGTTTGGTAAGAAGGCTACAAGGCAAATGGGAGAAGGTGGGCTTGAAACAGAACAGTGGACTTAATAAACCATTGTAGCAGGATATTTATTCTGCTACATTGTATTCGCAGTGGAGCTTGGTGATTAGGCAGTAGAAGAGGAGGTGGAGCCAAGAGAAGAAGAGAGGAAGGGGAGGGGAGAAAAAGAGGAGGGGAGGGGAAAAGAGAGGAAGGAGAGGAGAAGAAGGAGGCTATCAGCCATGGAGAACTGCAGATGGGTCGAAAGCTGTCCTGGGTAGCAACTTCTATCAAAAGGTTAGATATTGGGTAACAACTCTAATTGTGTGGGCATCTTGTTGATCGAGCATTTCTAAATACATAAATCCTTTAGATAATCATTAAGCTTTAAGAGTCTCGTTTCTACCGGGTACTGCGAGGATGGCAGATATTGTCTGGGGTTCAGCGGAGCTTTGTGGATGCAGTGTGGTGGATTGGCAGAGCCATCCCCCACACTGGCATCTTGTGGGTGCCAGGGCCTTTGTATCTAGTTAGCCAGAGCCCCAGTCAGAGCCAAGGAGCAGCGGGAACATGGTAGCTGCCTGGGAACAAGCCAGACCGGGCACTGTTTTCTAAATATCACCCCAACAAACCACCACTAATTTGATTTCACTAGATACCAGCAATGTTCTGAGCATTCTTATGTAATTTTAATTTTTAGCTTCTTTTAAGAACAAAGAAACTAGTTATCTCAAAGCCTGCTTTATAGACCAGGTGTATCTGTGTGATGCATTGCACACTATGTGTAATAACTAAACACTCAAGCTCTTTGGAAACACAGCCCTGTGCCCTTCAGTAGGAGTATGCCCCTCCATTCATGAAGGCATCATTCAATCCAGAAGGGCAAAAATGAGCCCATGTCCTCAAGCACCACCGCACCAGCTGCTATGGTGACTCCTGATTCCCCAAGCAGCCACCAAAGTTGGAGACAGAGCTAGATATCTCTCACCACCTTAGAGAGGTCACATGACCACGTAGAGGGTCACATGACCAACTACACACAATGGATCGACACCGTTCACACACAATGGACCGACACTGTTCACAGTTTCCAATTTTACTGCTACAATCTGTAAACCTCGAGATCAGAAAATGTGTCTATAGAAAGTAAAGTAGCCTTATGCCAACCCTCAGACATCTTTTGAACCATGAAAGATGACAATAATACAACCAAAACTGACACTGTCCCACAGACAGCTCTGGCCTGGGTATTTCCCTTCCCTGCCAGCAGCTGGATGCCTTTCCCAGAGAACACTGATGAATGGCCCAATGGCCTTCCTAGAGAGCCGTATGGCAGAGAGAAGACGTGGAGCTACAACACCAAAAGGCCTGGACCCCAGGCTCAGTTCAGTTTCTTCTCTCATCCCCAGCATCATTGGATAACAAGGGAATTTTCCACAGCTTGGAAAAGTGAGTTCCGCAGACAACACAAGATGTTTGGTAGCCACACTGCATTTGGACTTTTATTGTTTAAATATGGACAGTTCTCCTAAGATGTGGAATCCATTAAGACCATGGGCCCTGTAGCCAGGATTCCTGAGTTTGAATTCCAGCCTTACCACATGTTTGCTGTGTGGTGTTGGGCAATCGACTGAACTTCTCTGTGACTCTGTGAAGAATTATAGCTCCTATTTCATAAAATAGCCATTGAAGGTCAAATAACTTTAAAACGTTGAATGCCTACTTGGGACTGGCAGGGAGAAATCATTTCCATGTAGGCTGGACAGAGAGCTCAGCAGTTAAGAGCATGCGCTGCTCTTGCAGGGGTCTTCGGTTCAATCTCCCACACTCACATGGCAGCACACAGCTACCTATAACTACAGCTCCAAAGGATCCAGTGCCTCTGGATTCCCCTAAATACCTACATGCATTGTACACACACACACACACACACACACACTTAAAAATACAACTCTTTTTTAAAGAAATCATTTCAGCATTACCATTTTACTATCAAACAAAATTATCAGGCTGAGGAGATGGCTGGTAAAGGTACTCACCATGCAAGCCTAGGGACACAAATCCAATGCCTGGAACTCAGGTAAAGGGGGAAGAAAAGGACCTGCTATATACGAAGTCTTTCTGTGGCCATCACACATGTACTATGGCATGCATATATACTTATACACATAGGGCACCTCTCTCTCTCTCTCTCTCTCTCTCTCTCTCGCTCTCTCTCTCTCTCTCTCTCTCGCTCTCTCTCTCTCTCTCTCTGTCTCTCTCTCTCTCTCTCTCTCTCTCCACACACACACACACACACACACACACACACACACACACACACACACAAATGCTCGCACATAGACTCAGATGTTTGAATACCTGGTCCCCAGTAGGTAGAGTTATTTGGAAGAATTAGGAGGTGTGGTCTTGTTGAATTAGGCAGTGTGTCCCTGGGGTGGGTTTTGTGGCTTCAAAAGTCTACACCATCTCCATTTAACCCTTTCTCTACCCCATATGTCTTAAGATGTGCCTCAGCTGCTTCAGCACTGTGCTTCTTGCCGTGATAGTCATGGACTCTAATGAGCCCCAATCAAATGCTTTCTTTTATAAGTCCCCTTTTGTCATGGTATCTTTGCAGCAGTAGAAAAAAAATACTTAACACACCATTTAAAAGATACAATGTTAGCTATATGAACAGATAATGTATATACACAATGAAGCTTTGTTCAGCCATGAATGAAATGATGTCACTTGGGGAACATAGACAGAACCATACGTCATCACGATGAGCAGTTAGGCTAGCCTCGGAGAGGAGAATGTTATGATCTTCTCCTTATGGGGAATCTAGAATTCTAAGCTAATACTATATGTGATATATATTTGAGACACAAATGTTGAAAGAAGACTTCTTGAGAAGGGGAAGGGGATCGATGAGAGGAACACAAAAGAGGGTAGTGGGGTGAGAATGGTGGTCGGAATACATCATATATGTGTACTAAAGTCAGTCAACGAACATTTAATAAGACATAAGACAAAAAGCACAAGTGAAGCTTATATGTATAAGCCTATATAATATGTATAAATACATGTTTGTATAGTATATATAACTGTACATACGATACACAACTACACACTCTCATTAAACACATTATGTCTTCACACACATAGATACAGATGTTTATACATACCCATGTATATACACTATTTGTGACTTTATTAAAATGTATAAACATATTAAATAGAGTATATATAAATGTATATATAAAAACATGAACCACTGGCAAGTATTATGAAGGTAACGCTGACCTGAAGCAACCTCCAAAGGTGGCTGCGGTTTTTGTGTTTGCCCTGTGGTTAACTTTGTTCCTCTCTCACTGGTCTGGTTGTGAGCATCCATGTGTGGGTGTGTCTGATACCATCTGTGATGAGCTAGCTGTTCCATTCCTCTGGGGTTGACAAGATGACATTGCATCAGGACAAGGCTAAACAAACATGAAGTGCAGGTCTTGGAGGCCATCTGTATGCACACTGCATGGTTTTGAGGTCCCTGCCTTGGCAGGACTGAGGATAGCACTCCGCTCCCTTGCTGGATCTTCTATACATTCTGAATCTGGTTCCCACCCTGTTCACAAGGCCTGTGAGTCAAGCTCCAGGCCACCAGGGTGTGTGGGGAAAGGATGAGAAGAGAGTATGCTTAATAAGCCTCTGGCTCCCACTCCCATGACAACTGGCAACGCTTTGCTAAATGTTTCATACAAAGGAATATGCAAAGGATGCCATTAGAGGAAGGGTTGCACCACTGAATCAGTAAATGAAGCTGAAGACCCCTGCGCCAAAGCACTGAGTTTGGTAGAAAAAAAACCCACCAACATCTGCACACGTGCCTTTAAGGTGTGTGTGTGTGTGTTCAAATAAAGAACAAGAGGATAACGAGCAACTACACCATTAAGAATCAACCATCACAAGAATTGACATGAGGTACTGAGGCTGGGTGTGTACAAAAAACACCTTCACACCTCCACACCTGCGTTTGTGTCTGCACACTTCATTATTGAAGTTAGGACAGCCCACGTTGATCACTAAGCCGCCAAGCTGAATATAAACCAATGCCAAGTACATTACAGCTTTAAGAAATCTAAAATGTGAATGGCAACTTAATGGACAGGACTGAGCTTCATGGTTGGAAGGAGATGTTAGGATCTGCCATGCCACAGCCAAGTATCAGAACCATGCAATCAACTGATGAATGGGTAAAGAACACAGACGCGTTTGGAACGCGTATTCTGTATGATGGAATACTATTTGGCCATAAAAATAAGATATTGTCTTGTCGTTTGTGGCAATGGGGTTAGAACTGGATATCATCACGGTGTCACATAATCATATTATGTGGACTCTAGACAAATTGAGACATGGGAGTTGAGAGTATAACAATGGTTTGTGGGAGCCAGGGAGAGTTTAAGGGCAGGGAGCACTTAAGAAAGGCTTACCAATGGGTAAGAGAGCTAGCTGTAAGACATTCTGATATTATTATGCAGCAGAATGACCACAGAAGTTGGCAAAGAACTATATGTTTTTAAAGCTCCAAATATCTTTACGCTTAAGAAACAATGTCTGAAGAGTTAGGTATGCTTCCACTGGTTTGATCATATCACAGTGTATGCATGAGTCCAGACAGCACATGGTGCCTGATCATGGAAGTAATTTTTATTCCTAGATATTGTTTTAGATTTAAAATAATTAGTAAGAGAATGGCTCTCTGGAGCTCACAAAAAGAAATTCTACCAGCTGATCCCACACTTCTAATCAGCTCTCTCCCTGTGGTAGAGCTGGGAGCTGATACCACACTTCTAGTCAGCTCTCTCCCTGTGGTAGAGCTGGGAGTTGATACCACACTTCTAGTCAGCTCTCTCCCTGTGGTAGAGCTGGGTGTCACCACATGATGCAAGTGTCTCTCAGAAGCATGGAGATGCCTCTTACTCTAGGTCTCTCTGTCCTCCTCGGTCTACCTCACTCTGTCCTTACCATGGTTACACAGGACTGTTCCATGGTAAACAACAGAAACACACAGAGGAGAAGACATTTCAAGGGGATGGAACGAAACAAGAGAAAGTTATTTTTTCCCCACAGTCACCAAGTCTGGAAGTTGTTAGTTCAGGTCTGGTGTGGCACTCTGCAATATCAGAAACCCAAGCCTGCGATTCATTATTTCTCTGCCAAGAGGGCTTCCCATTCTCAAGGTCCTTTCTGGCCCAAAATGGCTGCGAGATCACCAGACATCATGGCTGCATTCCAGACAGCAGGAATACGAAGAGGAGTAAATCCTTCCTCCTTCGAGGAGACTTCTAAAAAATTTCACACTCTCCTCCTGCTTTCATTCTGTCAACCACAGCTCAGTCACATGACCACACATAACTTCATAGAAGGCTGACAAATAGAATCTTTATTCCAGAAAGTTCAGTGCACAGACAAAAATCAGTTATAAAAAGGAGACATAACAGATTTTGGATGACAAGAAAATTTTCCCTCAGGCCTACTCACCTACCAATACCATTCTGGCTTCCTGAGTGAACCTACATTCATAGAATAGAGTCATACCCCATTGTCTCATCTCCTCTTCCTAATAATAGCTTCAAGAATTAATTTTCAGGCCTGTGAAGTGGCTGCTGGGGTTCACGCAATGGAATACTATCCAGTAGTAAAAAGGAAACTATTTATCTATAATGTATTGGTGAGTCTCAAGACAAGCGTGCGCAGTGAAAAGAAGCAGATCAAAACCGTGTGTGTGTGTGTGTGTGTGTGTGTGTGTGTGTGTGTGTGCGTGTGTGTGTTGCTATAAAGTTCTAGAAAATGAAACCTCACCCGTAGTGACAGAACTGGACCAGTGGTTATCTAGGAATTGTGGGAGGAGGTAGGGAAGGCTAGCTTAAGTTCTTAAGAGCCCCTGAGTCTGGTGGGTGTGGTCACTACCTTGACCATAGTATTGGCTTTCTGGGAGTCAATGTTTACCAAACGCCATCAATTAGAACTCTTAAAATATATGTGCTTGACTCTTTGTGATTGTTTTTCAATAAAGACGCAAACTTACTTTTAAAACAAGGCTCCTATATGTCTGCCCCTATGCTAGAAGCACAGAATGAGCTATGCCCCGACTTCTGGGGTCCCCAGGTCAGCAAATTATCATAAGGAGTAAATCAAGGTTTCTAGTGTAAAGGGAGTGAGGCATAGCCCCTAATCCCAAGCAACTCTGAAATGAACTGAACCAAGTACCTACAAGCTGCTGCCCTCAAGCCAGCCCCAAACTCTAGTCAGGCGTAAGGGTTTCGTGACCAGGAGTAATTAACAGGCACACTCAACTGCCCAGAGCTGTTGCTACAGGAAGCTACGGGTGCTCGTGGGGATAAGGGTGTTCATATTTTAAACATCCCATGGTAAACTGTCTATTTTCCACTTTTTAGAAATGAAATGCAATGGCATGCTCTCTTCACAGTTCACATCTGTGCTGCAGAGCCGAGAAGGATCAGATGACAGAGACAAGTAGCCAGCACAAATGAATCCTCTGAAGGAATTGTTAGTGGGGCAGCTGTTCGGAATCTGCTGTTTCCAATGACCAACACACTCGAGTCTCGACGTCTCTTGGCCCTGGGTTTGACTTTATGTTGGTGTAAAAGTGTATGCTAAGTTCTGGAAGTCTCAGATGTTGGCCCCAAGGCCAACTATGGAAAGAATACTCTATTTTCTCCTCAGTTTTCCCATCTGGCTCCTAATGCTTACGACGGCTGGTACCTGTCCTTCCAACACAAAGCTGTTGGTCCTTCCTTTCCTCACTGAGGAAAAACAAAAATCACAGAGGCAAGTTCAAAACCCATGTTGAGGAACAACAAGCTTTTGTTTGTTTGTTTGTTTGTTTGTTTGTTTCAGCTCCCTTGAGCCTTTCCTTGTTGGTGTGTGTAGTCTGGCCACTACTGAGTTTGGAGTGTCCTGAGTTGTGTTCTGTGACCCCCATAACCCAAAATACTTCCCCACTAGCCTGATACATGCCTGACCCTCATTTAGGTAAAGACATTGGATCATCTACAAGGGCCACATTACCCAGAAAGCCTTGCAATGTCAGCAATTCAACCTCTGAGGAGAAGTGAGCAGGTATAGGCTGGTGCACATGCCTCCAGAAGACCACGTGGCAGAGGACATATGAGAAAGACAAGGCTGTGGCTATAAACTTTGGTGAGGTGAAATATCTTCAGGAGCTGCTACTGTTAACTCTGAAAAGCTAACCTGGGTGAAGTGGCTTGTCCCACATCAAATCACCAAGTCATCTTCATATATGCATATTAAGTAAATCCTTTTTTACGGATTTTTATTGGTTATTTTATTTATTTACATTTCTTTTTATTGAATATTTTATTTATTTACATTTCAAATGTTATCCCCTTTTCCAGTTTCCCTTCCAGAAACCCCCTATCCCATCCTCCCTCCCCCTGTTTCTATGAGGGTGCTCTCCCACCCATCCACCCACTCCCACCTCCCCACCCTGGCATTTCCCTACACTGGGGCATTGAGCCTTCATAGAACCAAGAGCCACCCCTCTCATTGATGTCCAACAAGGCCATCCTCTGCTACATATGCAGCGGAGCCATGGGTCCCTCCATGTTACTCTTTGGTTGGTGGTTTAGTTCATGGGAGCTCTGGGGGGTGGGGGGGTCTGCTTGGTTGATATTGTTGTTTTTGCTATGGGGTTGCAAACCCCTTCAGTTCCTTCAGTCCTTTCTCTAACTCATCCATTAGGGACTCCGTGCTCAGTCCAATGGTTGGCTGGGAGCATCCACTTCTGTATTTGTCGGGCTCTGGCAGAGCTTCTCAGGAGACAGCTGTATCAGGCTCCTGTCAGCAAGCACTTCTTGGCATTCACAATAGTGTCTGGGTTTGGTATCTGTATATGGGATGGATCCCAAGGTGGGGCAGTCTCTGCACCACACTTTGTATTTCCTCCTGTGAATATTCTGTTCCCCCTTCTAAGAAGGACTAAAGCATCAACACTTTGGTCTTCCTTCTTCTTGAGTTTCATGTGGTCTATGAGTTGTATCTTGGGTATTCCAAGCTTTTGGGCTAATATCCACTTATCAACGAGTGCATACCATGTGTGTTCTTTTGTGACTGGGTTACCTTGCTCAGGATAGACCCCATCCATTTGCCTAAGAATTTCATGAAGTCATTGTTTTTAATAGCTGAGTAGTACTCCATTGTGTAAGTGTACCACATCTTCTGTATCCATTCCTCTGTTGACTTCTTAAGGCGTGTGATTCAAAACACTTCCTTTTATAGCTCTGCCATTGATGAGATCATATCTGCTGAATGAACTGATAAGTTGAGTGTGTTGTTCTAAAGGTACAACTGCCCTCATCATCCCAGAACTTCCCATGACAAGGACCTCTGCATCTAAAAATAATCCCCCACTAAGTTTTTCCTTTTTCTGGATACCCAATACATTCAAACTGCATGTTCTCTTTCCTTGATAGTGACTATTAATTGTTCAAAGTAAGAAGTTTTCATTCCAAAATACAAGACCTTCCTATATTTCTTTCTTTTGAGACAGGATCAGCTGCCATTGAACTCATGATAATCCTCCTGCCTTATCTCCCAAGTACCGAGATTACAAGCATTCACTACTAGATCATGGGTTAGGTTGTTTGTTTGTTTGTTTGTTTGTTTGTTTGTTTTTGTGGGAGAGGGAGGAAAGTGCATACTTTAATAATTGCTGATTTCAGCTGCTTGTGTTGCTTTCTTATAATTTTCTCTCTCAGAGTCAGTTCATGTTCTTTTAGAATGCTGTGTGCTCTGCAAAGCATCCCCAGCCCAGCATTACAGGCAATATTTTCAGTGCAAACCAGGAAGGGCTTTCTTAGTTCTCATCACACTTAACCTTGTCCTCTCAGGTTTTCTCCTGAAAAGTCAGTTTCCTACATACATACATCATCTCCTTGGGATCATCTTGGAACTGGCCCGAGATGCTTTGTCAACAAGACACAGAGCAACTGCTGAAGGTAAGAGGCTAAGAGAGAAAGAGGTGGGGGGATGATGTTCTTCATTGTTTGTTCTTTGGGTGACAAGCATCACGTCCCTCCTCAGTAGAGCATTCCTTCCTTACCTGGCAGGAGCACGTCTGTGAGACAGAAGCCTGTGGTATAACGTAGTCTGTGTCCTCATATTTCTGAGGGGCACAGGTGGGAATGGAGATGTTGGAATGAGTCTGTCCAAGCCCAGCATGGCAAAGCCACAGTCCCACATGTCACAGAAGCACGTGACTGTTTACTACATCACTTCGACAATTCTCCCAGCATGACTACACCTTGCACCTCGCTCTTTGCAATGGAGGCCCACAACATGTGTGCGTGTGTGCGTGTGTGCGTGTGTGCGTGTGTGTGTGTGTGTGTGTGTGTGTTGGTTTATTTGTTTTTTAGTTTTGAGACATGATCTCATTATGTAGACCTGGCTTGCCTGAAGTATACTATGTAGTTTAGGCTGGCCTTAAACTCACAGGATCCACCTGGCTCTGGCTCTGCCTCTTGAGTGCTGAGATTAAAGGCATATCTAACTCTGTCTGGTGGTTTAAATGGGAAACATCTTCTATAGGCTCAGACGTTTGGACATTTGGTCCCCTGTTAGTGGTTTTGTTTGGGGACATTTTGGAAGGTGTGGCCTCATCGGACAAAGGACATCACTGGAGAGCTGTGGGAACTCATAACCTCACTGTAACTTTCATTTCTCTCCTGGTCATGGTTTTTATGGCAACAGAAAAGTGCCTAATGAGGTGGATGAGCTCTGAAAAGCAGGGACATGTGCACTTCTGCTTAACAGCAGTATGGGCAGAACTGGACCACACTCCACCCCTGTGCTGAGCCACCTGCTTCCTCTGGCTTCCAGAGCTCCACTGTCACATGCACTAATGCTGGGACATCAACCAACTGGGGGACTGTCCATCATAAGCCAACCCACACTCTACCTTAGGAGTATTTGCTTTCTGGAGTTGGAGGTGCTAATTTTCCCAGGAGACATTTCCCCTTGGCACTCAGACCCTGTGTAGTTCTTGTCTAGCTTTCTCTAAGGCTTTTCGTTTGAAATGTTGTTTCTGGAATCTCCGCCTTCCATGTGAGTCCACATTACTCTCTCAGTCACATCCACTGGTAGTCTCTTGAGCCAGCTTTACATGTGGCAGAAGCATTGCCACCCCTCTGGGAGAGGTAAAGAGATTGGGAAGGTCTTGATATGCTGATTGGTGTGACTGGGCATCCATAGCAGAGAAAGCTGAGGAAAATCAAGGGTGTGGCTGAGAGGAACATCTTATTTGTCCTTTAAATGGCTCCCAAGTTCCCATATTCTTCTCTAAAGCCCTGTCCCCAACCCCACCCCCAACAAACCAGGTCGGTCCCATCACCTCATCCCTTGCTAACCCTCACATCCATCAAGGGCATCCCTGAAATAAAGATAAAAACGTGTCATCCTATATAGCCATGTTTACTTACCAGAATTTCTCCAAGAGAATATATTTGGAAGAAATATGTAGATAAACCACATGGATAGGAGAGCTGTGATCTCAGTGATGCCCTCAGATGGCAAACAGTGGTCATTGAACTAGTATTGATAAAATAAAAGAGAGAAGAGTCTGTGTCTACAAGGAGGGTGGCCCACTGTTGGCAGGACAGTCCTGGTTCATCATCACTGTTAACGTGAGGTGGCTTGGAATCACCTGGGAGATACACTTCCCAGCACATCTGTGAAAGCATTTCCACAGAGGTTCAACTGAAGTGAGAAGATCCATTCTGTGGCAGTATCATTCCATAAGATGGAGTCCCTGAATGAGCTAAAAAGAAATAGTGAGTGAGAAACAGCATTCATCTCTCTGCTTCCTGACTTAAGGCACAGCCAGAACAGTTGTTCTATACCTCTGCTCCCCTGCCTTCCCCACCATGATAGACCATACCCTCAAATGACGAGACAGAATAAACAAACACAATCACAACCCTTTCCTGTGGCTACCTCCCCTCAAGAATGTACACCTCCTCCCTTCTGCCCTTAAGTTGCTGTCATCAGACATTTTGCTTCAGCAATGATAAGATCAATAAAGAAACTAGAGCAATACTGACAAAAAAAGAGATCAATTATCTGCAAACATTCACAAGTCTCGCACTGTTCCTGTCTCCACTTACTAACTTGTTTAACTCTTACGGTCACTCTGTCTAATCTGTTATCCCTATTTTACAAATAAAAATAACAGAACTCCAGGCCAAGCCAGTACTTTGACCAAGGTTACCTGCCACTTTACCGATGGAGCTGGTAAACAACGGTCTGACTCTGGAATCAGTGCCAGGAGCCTATCCGCTCTGTTGCCTCCAAAGGAAGCCTCTTGTGGTAGTGGAAGACAGCAGACAGAAGACTGCGAAGGTGTGACCAAATTCTTTAATGTACTGCAAGGAAAGGAAGCAGGAGAAACCTCACAGTGAGAAACTAGAATTCGTGTATGCGGAGGCAGTGTAGACATGGATGGAGCTGGCTAGGAAGCTGCTCTGTAATGACACTCTCCTCATCACCCCTTTGAAATCTTCGCTAATGTTGACATTTCTCATTTGGAGGAGAGAGATTCTGGAGGAGAGGTAGCAGCAGGAAAGGCTTGTTATTGTGTTTGTGTATCTGTGCATCTATGGACAGCTGCATGGCAAAGACAGTACTAGACAGTTCCATTTTTACTTACTCTACCTTTAGTTATACAAAGAACATGTATATGAGAGACATCTTCAGTTTTGCAACATATACATATATATACACATATATGTATATATACATATAAACACATATATATGTATACATATATTTGTGTGTGCATATATATATATGTGTGTGTGTGTGTGTGTGTGTGTGTGTGTGTGTGTGTGTGTGTGTCACATCATATCTAAACACACTCAATGAAAACCCATACAAAACATCAGTCTGCCCTGGAAGCCACCACTCCTTCCCCATCTTTCACACAGGAACCTGTCTAGCAGGACAATCCCCTTCACAACAGCTGGAACCAGCAGTTCCAGATCCTTGGGATCCGAGTCCACAACGTGGCTGCCCTCTCTATAGATCCTCTTGCTGTCCCAGCCCCTCCAAGGCAGATTGATATAATTACCTCCTATGTGTAAGGATTAGCCTGGCTAGGCAAAAGCCTCTTGCCAAGAAGTAAGGTGGACAGACCCATTGGGAGGATATGGAATCAGAACCTGCCAGTTCTATTCGGCAGTTAGTTGTCCCGTTCCTTTGTTCTATGACACTAAAGTCAGATGATGCTCAAGAAACGACCTGCCAAACCTTAGCTGC